TTTTGTTTTAAATTTGGAATATCTTATATAAAAGGACGTAAAAACAATTATAGTCAAATGAAGGTTCAGGTATGATGATAGTAATGTATATAAATATACTTGATTTAAAATATATGATTTGATATGAATTGTAGGTGATGACTGTGGAAGGGATGCGCAATTGACATACTTTCTACAATTTGTAATGGAAGATGGTTTTGTGGGTTTGTGTGTGTGTGTGTTTTGTCTGTTTGTGTTTATTCAAAAATAAAAAAAATCTTTACAAAAAAAATTTTTTTTAATGATCTTATATTTATTGAATTTATTTTAGAAGTTAGTTTTTCTGTTAAGTTTCCTTCTTTTGTTCTATCATTTGGACCAGATTTTATTTAGAAGTACTTAATATAACATACATTACGCTATAGCTCCGCTATTACCAGCATGTTTAATATGAAAACATAGGACTAAATCTATCTCTTATAGGTAGTTCTGAACTTATGACCACAATTGAGCCCAACATTTATGTTGCTAAGTGAGAAATCTGTTAAGTGAGTTTTATCCCATTTTACAACTTGTCTTGCCACATTTGTTAAGTGAATCACTGTAGTTGTTAAATTAGTAACACGGTTGTTAAGTGAATCTGGCTCCCTCATTGACTTTGCTTGACAGAAGGTCGCAAAAAGGGACCACATGACACTGCAACTGTAATAAATGTGAGTCAGTTGCCAAGCATCTAAATGTAAATCACAAGTCTATGGGGATGCTACAACAATCAAAAGTGGAGGAAATGGTCATGTCATTTTTTTCAGTGTTATTGTAACTTTGAACGGTCACTAAATGAGCTGTTGTAAGTTGAGGAGTACATGTACTTAATTATACTAATCACGTTATACACAAAAAACCATATATTCCCAGTCAAGGACTGTGTATACTACGTAAACATTGTATTTTTTATTTTTCATTTTCAGATGGCTGATCATTGGGAAACAGCACCCCGTCACATGATCCGTTTAGACATTCGCTCCTTATTACAAGATGCTGCTATTGAAGAGGTGAGATATGGAAAAATGCTAACTTACGCAAATGGGTAAAAAAACCACTATGAATTATACTTAAAAAGGTAGAAATTGTATTTTAATATGCAGTGATTATAGATTGAGTTATTATTTAATAAGATAAGCTTCTCAAATTAGACGTTTTGAAGGGACCTAATTCCCATGAGTTATAACTTCATTCTTATGTGCATATATGTGCAGGATATGCTATCCAAAAATGAATTTTCTGAATGTACAAATCAGTTCAATGCTAAATCTACGCAATGTATCTAAAGCTCCATCTTTGATGAAGTCTTTATAAGTGATGTATTGCTATACCAAAACGTAAGAATGGCCATTAACCAGTGAATAGCATCTAATGGTATCTATTCACTGACAATGTGATTCATTCATGTTCACATTGCATATCCTTTGAGGAGGTAACCCTTGTGTCTAAGCAGAAGTCTGATTTCAGTAACTTCGTATATAACCTAAGAATTCTATTCATCTTGATCCTCTTTAAAAAGTATAAAATTTGAAAATATAAGATTTTAAATATAAAAACCCTGTAGAAAATAAAAATGTTACCTGTGAAATATGTATATTTAAGTGAATTCTCAAAAACATTTTGTGTTATTTTAAATTTATAGTTTATTTGATTCTCTCATAAGTAGCTAAGGCCAAAATAGGTTTCCACTAATACAATCCTGCTATTACGTATTGACTTAGGTGGAGATGGAAGACTTTGATGCAAATATTGAAGACCAAAAAGATGAAAACAAAAAAGATGCGGAAGAAGAAGAGAGCGAACTGGTAGGAAATGCCCCTGCAACCATTTTTCATTACAATCAACAGCAGATTTTGTATTTGCTAGAATTCAATCTGCTTTCTCACCACCACTTTCCCAGTCACTGTCTCTAATTCTGTCATTTTAAGAGCACTGAATTGAATATATAAATTAATATTTAAGAATTCCTTAGGAAAATTTAAATCTTGAGTACTAGGGATCAGCATTCTGTCTTCTGTTAATAGATGTTACAAACCTATACAAGCTACACATTAGTGCCTAAGAAGACAATTTTCAGATGAAATTGAGAAATTCTTGTTTAAATACCCAATATAAAAGGCAGTTAAATAGTTTGTTTCATTAGCCATTTTCATAAGAACTAATCTTTTTCTAAGTATCAAGATATCTTTTACACATACAAACATAAACATGTATGCTCAGACATAATTCCATTGTGTTCAGTGAAGCTTATGCAGAAGAATTTGCTCACAATGTTAAGCTTTTGAAGCATTTGCATAGAATGCTTATTCATATGAAAAGAACAAAGGGATAATTCATTCTTTCTAAAGCTGAGCAGCAATTCACATTCAAAGCAAAAAAGGCAATTGTGTGGATACTTGTGTTATACCTGTCAGTTGCTGCACCTTCCCTGGACTTGAAGAGCTGCCATATGCAATCCCAGCAAAATATGTATTTGATTGAAAGATGTGCAATGTCCATGGTCACATATGTTTTAAACCACCTTTTCATTTTTGAGTCTATATCAATGCACAGTCCTGCACAAAACAGACCTCATTCCATCAATTGAAAGTTCCAGTTTCAATTCAGCTTTCTGGCCGAAGGGCAAAATTCCTCTGACACCCCAGTACAGAGGGAAAGCTGACTTTACTATAAGCATAAATATCATATCAGGGGAATAGAAATTTGTGTCTTTCTTTCCTCTTAAAACCATGAAGTTACACAGTAAAATAAGAAGGGATACACTGGACCTCCACCAATTCTAAAATACTATATTTGATCCTTTTACTCTTTCTGGCATCCTTTTTGGCTTGAAGAGTAAGAATGTAGTTTTTATTTTATTTATTATATTTACCTGCTGCCAAGATCCAAGCAACTCTCAGCACTTCTATTTTGTTGAAGCTATACCTTTTCTACTTTGGGGGAAGATGTCAGAAGCTGCAATAAATGCTTTCAGGAAGAGGAAAAAAAGTTGTCCTGATATAAGCCACAAGTGCTTCTTGGAAGGGTATAAATAAAGGTATTTAGGCATACCTGAATACAGTTTTCTACATGGCTTGTGGTAGCTGTTGTGATAAATTGAAGAAATATATGGCTAAAACTTCTAACCAAACCCAACAGCAGCCAACTGCTAGAGAGAAAGTTCAATAGATACTTGTGGGGTCAGGAAGAAGGAAAATTCTGATCAACATGCAATTTTTACAATTTCGAGGAGGCTAGAAGATCCAAGCCTACTTGGATCCAAGCTAGAAGATCCAAGTCTACTTGGTCAACAAATTAACATTGATGCCCTTCTGTCTGAAAAAGTGGATAATTGCTATTGAGTAGGTTTACCACAGCTCTTCAACCATCTGTGGGAGTTCACAACCAACGTTTATCCTTCAATAGATTGCAACTGGATTGTGCTCGAGAACTAGCTTGAGATAGTTCTTATGGAGAGCTATCTATAAGGTAGGTTTGCTTTCCCTCTTTCAACCAAGTCAAGGAAAAGGTTTCAGAAGGTTTTTTTATGCCATTGCTTATTTGTTGGATAAAAGAACTTTCAAGGAAATTTTAGCACCTCCTCTGTCCATTCACATACACATATTTGTTTGATATTTCTAGATTTCACTTTTTGAAACAGTTCTCCAGGAAAATAAAGAGTATACTGTCTGACATTGACTGAAATGGTAATAGTTGGATCCTTCCAGGATACCCAATTGAACTGTTTGTTGGTTCATTATATGCAAAGGTATCAAGAAATAATGAATCCCTATTATGGAAACATGTTTCTTAATCTTTTGTCAAAATGAAACATTGTTTTTATCCAAGACACTATGAAGTCTAAACATGTTTTCAGTGGCCTTCCTTGTACTTATTTGTACTCATACCATTTGGAGAGGATGTGACCAATCAGAAATTTCTCTCCTCTCACTACTTCATTTGTGTGTTTTAATATGTATACATGCATATGTGTACATATACATGCAGATATAACACCTTTGAATGAAACCCCCTGCATCTAAAGAATTCATTTGACTTTCATGAAATAAGCTGTTCAGCAGATGAGCAGCATTAGCTGGAAATGACAAAATATTGCTCAAATGTTATCAATTTCTGATCTCAAAGCATCTACCAGCAGAAAAATAATCCAATATATTGATTGTTCTAGGAAAATAAAGTCTGAAAAAAATTAAGGGGAAAAAAAAGAAAAGTTAACTACCGTATTTTTCAGAGTATAAGACACACTTCCCCACCCCTCCCAAAAAAGGGTGAAAATTTTGGTGTGTCTTATACACCGAATGTAGCCCTGCCCGCCCACTGGCCCCCACCCTTTGGCCTCTGCCTCCCAGAAATTTACCTTCTTGCCGCAAACGGGGAAAATGGGGCTTGAGGCGACAAAAGGCTATGGCAATCCCTGCAGCCTGAAACAGCTGATCATCGGGAGGCCTATGCTGAAATTGAAAGTGAAACGGGCTGTTTGCTGGAAGGAGGCAGCTTGCTGGGAGGCAGAGGCAGATTTCTTTTTTCTTGTGCTAATCAGGCTAAACTGGAACAGCCTGTTTGCTGCAAGGAGGTAAGTCAATAACGATAAATGCCTATAGAATGTTCAAATTATTAGACTTATTTTTTAAAAACTGCAATATTATTGTTCTAGACAACTTAACAAAATGAAGAAGCTTTTTAAAATAAATGCTTGATCTGAAGAGGCCCAGTGCTATTGTATTTTCTTTTAAATAGCAGAGAATAACATATACTTCCAGAAAGCCACATCTATTTTAACAGCATCTGTACAAGTATAGTCCGATACAACAAACAGTGTATATCGTCTGTACTGTTTGCTGTTTGCTACAAGGAGACAAATTACTGGGAGGCAGAGGCAGATTTTTTCCCCCTTGTTTTCCTCCCCAAAAGCTAGATTTTACTTCGGAGCATCTTATACTCCGAAAAATACAGTATGTATCTTTTACCTTTAGTTTATCAAGGTGCTTCTCATACATATACACAAGGAAATGCAACATTCTTATTTGTTTGCAATATAGCTAATCTTTTTTGGAAGCCTGCTACTGACTTGGTTTTATGATTTGCTTTTATTTTGAAATACAATTTTTGAAAAGATACATTTAAAATTTCTGCAAATAAAATGTATTTGTAATTATTTTTGCAGAACACAACCAACATAATCTGTACCATTTTAACAACTAAACTATGAAGGATGCAAAGAATGCCCAATTCTTTGTAGAGTGCTTATTTATATTTTACACTGTTTCCCAGGGGTGGGTTTCGACCGGTTCGCACCGGTCCCTGCGATCCGGTTGGTCGCCGAACCCGGAAGTAAGTAACTTCCGGGAACGGCGAAGCCCCCCCCCCCCGCGCGCGCCCGCACACCCGCGCCCGCTCCTTACCCGGTTTTTATGAATTCTGCGCTTTCCACGCATGCGCAGAACGCATACAGCGCCTGCGCGATCCTCCAGGAGCAGCTGGAGCATCGCGCAGACGCTAGTATGCATGCGTGCGCCGCGTGCGTGCGCGAGGACGCCGCCGGCCTCGTTCCAACCGAACCGGTTGGAACGGGGCGAGAAACCCACCCCTGCTGTTTCCACATTATTGAATCACCTCTTTTTATTTAGGTACTTTCATGTTAAAAGCGGATGTGTTATTATATGTTGTTTATCCTACTGTAAAATCTTTGCACCAAGATGGTGCTTATTAGATAAGCCTTTTAGTGATAGGGAAGTTGAAATTTTGAAAATGGAGGTAAATGCAAAAGACTCAGGTAATATATTCCAAATCTACACACCTAGATGCATGATTTCAAATGTTCTAGATTCTAAATGTTTACCTCAGAAGGACATCAAAAAAATTTCATGTAAATTACTGTAGACCCAGGCTTAGAATTATACATTTCCTTGTCATCAGATTGATTTGAGAAAACATGTAGATCTTCCACATATCTAGTATCATGTTGTCTCTCTTAGAGCACTGGCATATTACATAGAATTTCCTATTAATTTTTGCATGAATATCCACTACAAAGAGTAGATATCTTGGAGGAAAGCCGGTATTAAAAACCCAGATATGTATAGAATTATTGAAAATATTTTTGGCGGAAGACATTTACCAGCAGAATCAAAGAATTTTTGAAGTGTTTGGGAACTATTTGATGATCCAGTGAAGAACAGAATGTTCTTCACAAGGACTATGTTCTGTGGACTTTCCATAACATTTACTTGACTACTATAGGAACCTGGACACTGGATTAAATAAATTGGTGTGGCCCAGCAGTTTTTCAAGGATGTAGTCATAATTCTCATGAGGAAAATAAAGATTTTCCACAAGAAAATCTAGACGGATGAAGACAAATTGCCCATGAAGACAGGTCTTCTGCCCATTCAGAAGAAAGCATTTCAAACTCCTTTCACAATAAAATTCCTGCCCATTTTGGGAGCAGATAATCAGAATCCTTGAGAAAAGGTTTTAATTTCTAAAATTAAAGCTTTTAGCAATCCATGTGGCTTTAAAAAGAAAAGAAAGTTAGAAAGAGAAGAACTGATATCATAAAAGGATTGTGCTTTGGGAAATTTAGTGATAAAAGCTGAGACCCACAGGTCTCTTTCCATGTAACCAGAAAATAATTTTATAACCAGTTTAGATTCTATTTCTAATTCAAAAGGTAGAACAGCCAACTATTGGGTGTACAGAAATGGATATTCCTTTCAGGAATACACTAGTTCTGAAGCAATCTACTGTACAGATGTTCTCCATCTTCTGCTTGGTTTAGAAAGACTCATTATGGAGGTGATTATATCACCTTATAAAATTCATTTACTCAGGACATTGGAACAGCAATAGAAGTTATGTTTGATAACAAAAGTTGCTATAAAATAATAAAAAGGCTCCACTAAAAGCAATAAAAACTCCACAAATTTAAAATAAGGAAGTAGGATAAGGATGAACACATAACGTTTTAACAGAAAGCTATCTGAATAAGAAGTTACAAAACCTTATTTCCATTTAGATTGATTTATTATTGTACTTTGCAAAGGTTAATCCAAGCTGTCCCTTCTTTAGCAAAGTTGTAAGTGTAGGTATTTTGCAATCAAGCTTGTTTTTGGGGCATCTGTTTAATAAACTGAAGATATCTCAGAAGTAATCTAGACAGGCTGTCATTCTCTTTAATGCCTTCAAGATTAGTAATTATCACCATTCAGGTAAATACAATTTAAATATTAGTAGCATGAACTTTCTAAATTAAATAATGCTTCTTTTAATTGGACAAGTGATACAAGTCTTTTCATTTTTACGCATTCTACGTTTCAAGTTCTTAACATTTTTATGTTGGAATCATATATCTGCCAGCTTGAGAGTGGGTGCTGATTTTATTCCGTCCGAATTGTACTGTTTCTTTTTAGAAGACAAAAATGATCAAGAAGACCAAATATACAAAGAAAAAGCAGAACTGTAATTGCAATATAGAAGGGGAAAATAAACGCTTTCCTGTATTGTTTTTCCAGTTTCCTTTCCTCAAAAATTTCCAACATGGAATTTTTCTTTCAGAGTTTATTCTTCCAAATGAATGTATTCTTATGAAAAAGAAAAAATATTGAATTCAGATAATTGCTTTTCATGGCGTAAATGATGTAAATATAAATAACTAAATATCTCAGTTACTAACATAAACACCCATCTCCAAAGCACATTATAGAACAAATGATAGTAACATGGCCATTTCAGTCAAATCTTCAGAAACCAGGATGATAATTGCCTATGGAATAATGCATATGAAGAAAAAAATAAATGGACAATACAATCATTGTACCCTAAAGTGCCAGAATTTTAACTAGCATCTGAAAATTAAGTATTGTGATATTCTATACTGCTGCTACCTGTAGTAAACATATCCCGCCGCTTCTCTTAGACAACTACTAAATTTCAGATACTGAGAGAAAAAAGAACATGATCTAGTGACATGCGTACAGGATGGCAAGAATCAGCATTTGGATCTGAATCAGAAGCCAACGAATAACCGGTTCCAATTAATCAATTTGCTGGACCAGCAACTTTTTTCCTCAGGCTTTCCAGACATTTTTCAAGAGCAGCTTGCTAAAGAAATGAAATATGGAAGTTCATAGAACATAAGCATACAGTTCCAGAAAACTATGTTGCAGAAAACTCTAAGCTGCACGTTCATACTTCTTGCAGTTGGAAGTGGCTTCAGATCAAGCAGTGCCAAAGATCTGCAGTCTACAGTCCAAATTGACAATCTATTTCTAAATCAGGCAGCCTATCAAACAACAATATTTCTATTTATAAACATTATACTTTAAATCAATTTGAACCAACAGTTGTATTGAATAAAATGTATTAAACCTTGACTGAGGTATTGGGTTATAATTCTATTGATTCTTCACCCTAACGTAACTAGGAAACAAGTACATGTCCCTGATTGGATGAGGAATCCTGCACATACACACCCTTGCTGTGTTGGTTTTCCATCCAAATGCTAAAGTTCAGTGGACATAAAAGGTGAAATATGCCATCAGCTATTCAGAAGGAAAAGCAGAAATTAGATCTAATCTCTAAATAGCTGATGAGTGAAATTTCATCTTTTTGAAAACATGGGGTGCTTGTGATATCCTGCCTGCTCAATTATGTACTCAGCTGAAGTTAACGAGTTACGTATTTTTGATAACTAACAACATGAGGTTTCCATGAATAAATGCTTTCTGTCATTTCCACTGGTTTTAACTGGTTTTTTTTCAATCAATTCTTGTATTCAGTAAGACGTGTTTTTTATGATTAAGTTCTTTTCTGATTTTTAAAAAATACATATTGAGGGCTGAAGTAAAATGCAGAAATCCATACTAATGAAAAAAGAAACAATTTTAGGATACTTTTTTAAACAAACATTTGCGGAAGGTTCCCTAGAAATTTAAAAAAAACAAATAATTGCCAGACACATTCATGTTTATATAGTGGGCTTCTGAAATCTTCATCCCACACTGTGTCTCCATATGCAAAGATTACCTGTGAAGATACCATTATAAAATTCTATGTGGAAATCCCTGAGGCACATGAATTCTGATCATGCAACACACACCACACTGAGAAATATGTCATATCTTATTATTGTGAGATACATTCTTATCATGAAATTATTGTAAGATACATTCTTATTGAGAGAGACACTTGCACTGGATGCATAGTGACTATGAATATTTTTTATATTGCAACATTTTACAATTCCAAATCATGTTTACAGTTCAGATTGAATATCTTAAGAAAATGTTTGCAGTATAATTCTTTTGCAGGATAAAATGTTATATGCTTTCTTGTATCTCTCTCTAATCCTTCGAGCTTCTCTCTGTATATGATTTAGGGTTACATTCCGAAAAGCAAATGGGAGATGGATACTTCTGAAGCAAAATTAGGTGGGTATTTAATTTATTTTATTAACAAAAAAATTCCTTGTATTTGCACATCTGTAGTTTCATTGTCTGATCTGATCACATACTTGAGCAATATATACTGAATTTGACATTTTTGATGATACAGCTGCCTCAAGGCAGTGTAATATCCTTTTATCTCTGCAATTACAATGCTATAACAATCAGATTTTTAAATTTTAGTTACTTTATATACTTTTGTGATGCAGTTTCTTATATATTAATATTCAAATAAATGAATGGTGAGTAAAGTGAGTTATTTGTAGTGGCTTAGCATTTCCTACAGAGCTGACCTTATGTATGCCATTCTTTAGATCATTTTATCTATATGTTACTCTGATTAGGCTAACATTGTTCAACATTATGCCTTGTTTTGGCATGGTGGCAGAGACATATATGGGTATCATCTCAAAGCACTGTTAATCTTTTACAATGTTGCTGTGCATGAGTACGTTCTATAATGTAATGGATTTCCAGTGCTTCTCAGAGAAAAGAAGTAGAAAGATGAGATTTTATATCCTTTTTTAATTTTCATTTAAGCCATTTGCTATGTTCATTTCTTGAACGCCATTGCTTTAAAACAGTTATTTGACCAGGGTAAGTATGTGCTTTTGTATTTTAAAAATACTATTTTAAATAGTTACATTTGTTGAGTTATAGCATTTGAAGAGTAGAACTTTTCTAGTAGAAATAATAATATATCAGTTGTGTCTGGACTACAGCTGGTCATAATGATGAACAATGTCATATGTAGAGACATCAAAGAATTTTTTCAGTTTCTTCAGTTTCAGTGTACTTCAGTTTCTGTAACATTGAGTTAACTCAATGGTAAATGTGTCTCACTAATCTTGGAGGCTTTCTAGGACAATACATCAATAAGTATTCCCTTTCAAGTGCTTTGATTTTCAGAGGTTTATAACATTCAAGGCAAATACAGCATTAGGAAGGATTCACCTGGTATCTCATCAAATAAGCTATACTTATGGATTGCATTGCATCTATCCAACATAAATAATTTATGTGCTGTGGGAAAAGGAGATTTATTTATTTATCATATTTGTATGGCTGTCCATTTCACAGAACATGACTCTGGGTGGCATACAATAAAAAATAAAAAGCAGCAATATAAAAATAATTGATAATTAAAAACATCAATTAAGAGGCAAAAAGAGTATCAACTTATTCCCTTGAGACTTCCAGGCCTGCTGACACAACCAAATCTGTTAGCAGGAATGGGGCCAACCTCACCTCAGAAGGGGGTGCTGGTGGTGTTGATGATCCATGGGGTGAATGCCATCCTAGCCAGACTCCTAGGTCTCACCTGGTGTAGCTCTTTACCATACAGGAGCCACAACATACCTCGTGCCAGACATGATGGGTTGGGCAGGTAAAATCAGAAAGAGGTGGTTCCTCAAATAACCCAGCCCAATGTCATGATAGACTTTAAAGCTCAAAACCAATACTTTGAATTGGACACAATGCAGCTAACATTTAATATAGATCTATTTGTTTAATGTTTTTACAATGGGGAACAACTTGAAGAAAACTCTTCATTTCTGAAGGAATGGTATCAGATTATACATATATAAAGGTTTTTTACATTTCAAATCTGTTCTTTTAGAGAACAATTAAAATGTCAATAAGAACTCCACCATCAGGCCTTTCCAATGTATGACTTATATTGTGGCCCTCAGCAAGAGGGCCACAATAGAGTGCTGAGTAGTTGGAAAAGATTTGATTAAAGCGAGCATGTGCATTCATTGAATATAGAATTCATTCCGAAGCCAATGGCTTAATATCATGATTTGTATCTTTTATACCATATTTTAATATTTAAAATTAATATTTTGATACAATTAATCATAGTTATTTATTGAATGACTCTCTCTCCTTCCCCCCTCTCTCTCTGTATGTATATATATATACATAATTAATTGTTCAATATTTAACATAGTGCTTATTTAATTTTTCATATTCAGGTATACCATCTTAAATTCTTTTCATGTTCAGTCAAATCATTTTATCTCTTCCCCTCCTCCCATACCCTGAAGGCTACATTATCTTCCTGTTGCATGACTTAATTTCCTAGTAATGCCATAATCTGTAAGTTTTTCTTCTACGATAAATTCAATATTTTAAGCAAAGGGGGCAAAAGGTTCTGGGGGCATTGTATAAGATATAAAAATGAGAAACTGTAACATAACATGATCCAATAAAATACATTAAAATATTCATAAGCAAAGAATTAGTAATATGGCATTCTACCATATTATGGAAACATTCCTTGTTAAATCTGTAGTGTAGGCTACATATGGTGAATCTTCTAAGCATTTGTGCATCATAAGAGTTTACTTCATGCATGCATGTGACATAGTTTTTTTTTATTGGATTGTTCTAAATAGACATAAACTCGAATTTATATCACCTTTTGCAATTTTTTTTGAAAAAGTCCTGGAATGATTTAAAATATTTCTAATCCACTTCACAGTTATATGTGTGATACCTTTACCATATAATCAAAATGAACAACAAATAGTTCAATGCCAAAAGAAAACAATTGAAAAAATAAACCTGTTTTAACTTGTTGGAACTTAAGTGAAAACAAGCAGTAAAAAATTCCCAATAAAAGCTGTAGCAAAGACGGCTTTGAAAACTACGATTGCCGCTCATCTCACCAGGGTATATGAATGGAGCCATTATATATGATCTAAAATCATTGTTCTGAGCCTGCCTATTTATTTATTAGTAATTGGAAGCTAGTTGAATATAATAAAGTTATTTAAATGATGTGAGATGTTTGTTACATTAGATAACATTCTTGATGCTGCACTCTGAATTAATTTAAATTACTGAATGGGATCTTAAAGAAGACCCAAATAAACCAAATCATTTTAGTTCAGCATCTGCGTTACCATACCAAACCTCCTAAGAGGGCTACCTTTGGTGTATCAGCTGAAATTGATTTAAAGAAATGGGCTATGAATAGTATTTATTTATAACACAGTTTGTATTAACACACGCATAGAAGATCTGATCAATTAACAATTGTTAAACTACTCAGACCATCCTTTTATATTTTGGAAACAAATGTGCTGCAGTGTTAGCTGGCTGCGTTCAGTTTGATGTTGGATGGCACATAAATAAAAGTCCCTTCCAACTCTGTTATTCTGTTAAATAAAAGATGTAAACCATAAATAAGAAAAATTACAGTTGTTAGTAGGTAACAATGAGAATGTGCTGTGCCTTCGCTTTTAATATTATCTGACAGTTCTTACATTTCTACAGTCTTGTTAACTTTTACTTACTGGCTTTCTTCCAGCTTATTATCAATTCTAAACACCTGGATCAAAGCATCTGCAGTCTTTCTAAACTTAATGGAAAGGCAGCAGAAAGGTTTTGGATGGGAGTTTTCTTTGTTTTATGGTATAAGAATTTACTGTACAGATTTCCTGTTGACTATCAGGCAAATGAAATTTTGTAAAACACTGTAGCAAGTACAGAATATGGTGGAGCAAAGCAGCAACTTTCCAGCACAATCTTTTGAAACCAATTGGACATGTTGAACTTTAAGCACAAAAACCTCTAGTTTCCATGGGAGATGGAGAATATAAACATGTACTCTGGTCATATTGTTAAAAACTGATGAAAGGTAACAAAAACATTCCCATGTTGTCTTAGTTACATAACTTGACCACAGTCAGACAACACAGTGATAATGTTCCCAGTCAGACAATACAATGATAAAGTTCTTCTGAAGCTCAGTTGCTGTTGCTCCTGGTACCAACAAAATCAATAAAATGTCACTAAGTATTAGTTTCCTAATTCTAAAAATATTCCAGATGTTATTTGCTTCAAATATTATCTGTAACATAATACAGCATGTTATATTCTGTATATTATCAACTTTTTGCATATTTGCTTGTAAAGGAATAATATGTGAACTAAAATGTCTTCTGTTAATTCTTTTGATCACTTACCTCATAATAATTCTTTTCTTGCATCAATTTTGCTAGTAGTAAATAAGACTTGATGAAAATAGACACAGATATAATTTGGTACAATGAAAGGTTTGTTCCTTAGAACTTACTTCTTTGTTTTCTAGTCAGATATTGCCTAAACTATTCTTGTATCAGTTGAACAGAAGAATTAACTTGTTGAGCAGATGTGTCTGTTAACAATTTGTGGGTGCAACAGTAAAAAGCAAGCTGTTTATACCCTCCTACCCATTCAACCTTTCTTTCCTGAATCTGTTCTTAAAGGCAAGAAAAATTAGCAAATACAATCACACACAATATATGTATACATAATTAATAATAATTGTGGCTGATGTGCAGGATTATTTAGATTGTGATTTGAGTTTGTAGCAGTTGCTGAATAGTTATATAAATCACATATAATCTGAAATATGCATATGGCTATATTTATTTATGGTTTGTACACATTACCTCATGCTTCTCATAATCTATCTCTTAAATGGAATTGGTTTTGGTAAGATAATTTGTGAAAATGTTGAATAGATTTCAGTACATTTTTACTATTATAGAAAAACTAAAGCCCTTAAAACCAGAATAAATTCTTCTGTTAACAGAATAATTAAATATAGGCAAAATGTTTTAACTGGCTGCTTAAATTTTTTTTAAACATAATTATAAGTTTAATATCCAATGTCTAAATGTCTAATAAAAAAAAATATCCCAATTATAATTTTGCAAAGTTTTTAAGTTCTTCCAGTAAAAATAACAAAGCAAAACAGCAGGGGTGAAATCCACTTACCTTTGCTACCGCTTTGGTAGCAATATGAACGTGCATATCTTCCGCACATGCACAGAGGATGCCTGTAAAGGTAAGTGAACTGCGAGTGGGGGGAATCCGCTGTGCCACGTGATTTATATTAGCTGGAAAGTAAGAAATCCTGCTTTCTAGCTAATATAAATCACGTGGCACAGCTGATCATCGTAAAAACCTGTTTGCCCAAACTGGTAGCATTTTTTTTACTACCAGTTTGGGTGAACCGGTCTGAACCAGTAGCATTTCACCCCTGATTTTTAGGATAGAGATAATTCTGAGGTAGAGAAACATAATATGTTAATTTTCAAATCAGTGCACTTTTCTGCATGTTTTGTTAACAAATAAGTATGTAAGTTATTCAAAATTTGATTCATAAAACAGCATAATATGGAATTTGCTATTTTTAATAATCTGATAGCCATTTAAAAGAATATTTTAAAGTTAAAATATTATATTTTGCATTTAAATATAGGTGTATTTATAATAAATTTAATATCTGTCTACTTCACAGTATGATGAGACTGGGATAATAATTTTAAATGATCTGTCTACTCCACAGATGGTGAGACTGAGAAAGATAGTTCTTTTGTATAAGAGAAACACCAGTATTACTTATATATGCTTGCATGTAGCCAAGTTTGAAAAATACTGTTTTAAAAAAATATGTTGATCTGTACCAAATAATTACTAGAATCACATATTTCAACTTTATATCAGCTGCTGAAGCAAAGGCAAAAAGAACCTCTGACCCGCTTTTGGATATAATTCCTCACAGCTGGTATTCTGCATTACATTCAAATTCTTTATCTGGTGATATTCTGAAATAATGTTCCATAATGCTTTGTGGAACATCTCCTGTATCTTCCATAGTGTTGGCTTAAAACATAGAATGGAACTTCTAAACTGGTCTTCAGAAATGCTTGCGGTATCGCCATTGTACATGGATTCTGTTAACGATTCGAGGCAAGAAGTAGCTTCCCTTATACATATGCCTGTTCATATTTTGCACACAAAAGGCTGAATTTCGAAAGGGTAGAAATGGGTGCTCCATTTTGAATTTATGCCACTCACAAAGACATCAACTAATATTTGGATTTCATCACTATATATTGTCAGTGACCTGTTTAAGAAAATCCCCATGCATTATATTTATGTATGCAAAAATTTTTTTAACAATAAGGCTATGTGTTTGTTCTCAGACAAATTGGATGGGTTGCGAACTGGTACTAAGAGGAAACGTGACTGGGAAGCAATTGCCAGCAGAATGGAAGATTACCTTCAGCTTCCAGATGATTATGATAGCCGTGCTTCTGAACCTGGGAAAAAAAGGGTAATAAATGTCTTGGTTTAACATACCCAGCCACATCGAGCTTTAAGAAAACTCATTCTGATAGGGTGAATAGTTCTATTCTTGCAATGGTGATATTTGTTAATGGAATGCTATTGCTCAAAAGTATACTGAATAGATCATGTTGGTATATGATTCTTTTATATCTGGAGAGAACAACATTTCAGTATATTTAACATTGTTATGTTCGATGGAGTTATGTTAACATATGGATGAGATTGGTGAGGCAATTTCTTTTTCAACATTGAACTGCCTATTGGAAGTTTATGATTTTAGGAGTTTGTTATCTCAAAATGGCAATGACCAATTATAGTTACTGGGGACTCCAAGAGCTGTGAAAAGTGACTGTGGGCACAATCTTATTTTTCAGTGGAATACACATTCCTCTCCCATCCAAACTAGCCAACTAAATGCAACTGGATTTAGGAGCATTGAGTTGTTGTCTCAGTAATTGAGAGTGGTCTCATTACTTTGTCAATATTTCCTTGAAATATGTCTATGGAGATTCTCTTATTGAAATAGTTTTTCACTTTTTTACCAAAGGTATGCAAAAATTGCTTAGAATGTAATTTTAAAAAGGGTTTTATGAGGTTTTCCGGCTTTTGACTATCCATCCTGCCAACACATTTTGTAAGTTGCAAAGTCAGTAGAACGGTGGAACAAGATTCAGTGACAAATCTTTTTCCCCTCATTACTTTAGTGTTTTGTTTCTCAGTTTCATTATAATCTAATTAGTATAGTTTTTACAAATAAATAATATGGATGAAAGAAAGCAGAATGTGAATCAAGCTAGCAGTTTAATTTGCTTGGTATAAAATTGGAAAACAGACTGGTTAGAATATTATCTGTGTCCCCTTTATGATATGATATTGGTGATCTGTATCTAGAATAGAGCTGAATACAACAGCATTTAACTTCAGTAATCAAAGAGTATAAAAACTCCAATGGTAAAACATTAGCAACATTCCTAAATATTCAGAAAACAGATGCATATTGAATATGAAGAAAACGCCAGTATCCTCAGAGCTTGTTAGCGAAATTCTAAAGTTGTGTGGAACAGTCACACCGAGCTCTAAGGAACTGAATAGGTCCTTGTCCAATAAGAAGCAGAATTTAAAATATAAGTTAGCAAGTATTGAAAAATAAAAAATGGAAACATTTTTGAAAAATAATTCAATTTTTCATCCACTTCTCCAAGTAGGAAGGTTTGTGAAAGACAGCAAGATTAAAAAGATCTTCATCCAAATGCTTGATTTTAACCTTTTGTTCACCTCTAAATACATTAGGAAGCTCAAGTAAAGTGATGGCTAATGCCTTTTCTAAATTGTCCAAAATCTCTGCAGGGGATAAAATTGTATCAGAGATTTATGCATGTTGCTTCTTTTTCCTGAAATGACTGTTATCCAAGCAGCACGTCTTTTTTTTAATAGGTAAGGTGGGCAGATCTTGAAGAAAAAAAGGATGCAGACAGAAAGAGGGCCATTGGTTTTGTTGTGGGACAAACAGACTGGGAGAAAATCACAGATGAAAGTGGTCGTTTTGCTGAGAAAGCCCTCAATCGCACTAAATACATCTGAATTAGTTGGCACATGGAAGATGTCTTCCTTTCAGGTTAGAGCTGAACCTTCTATATCTTCATATGTACTTGACAATGAGCTAAAGAGCATGTGGTGGATGGATGGATCTGGACACTATTTTAATCATTTGGTTAAAATCAGATGTTTAATCTCTGACTGCATGCAGTTTGGAGGAAAGAGAATAGCACAGTTCAAAAAATCCTGGTTTACTATCAGCTGTGATTACTTTTCCCAGGCTCATCATCTAATCTTTTTGTTTTTCCTCTACAGGCTGTTTGCTTTGGTGAGCGAAGTACACAAGGTGGTATGGTTGGAACATGTCATTGCCCATCTAGAGAGCTTTCTGATTCTTTCCTTTTGAACTTTTTTATTTCATTGTGTTCCTTCCATTTTAACTGGTGATATCCAGGATCCCCAAGTTATATAATATCCTCTTGCATCTAAATGTGATAAAAATTTATGTTAAAATCAGTAGTCTTAGTTTTTATGTGTACAGTAGAATTGCAAGACAGTCCTGAAGCCATTTCCTCTGCCGTACTCTGACCCAATGTCAGCATTACTTTGTATTGTTGCTTTGTGCTATTGTTATTTTATACTGTACAAACTTGGTAGTTTATTGTACTAGGAAACAGAACAATAAACTTTCACTATGACTTTAATAATGTGGTTGACCATATATTTATGTTTTCTATTATCTCTGTATTTGATTTTTAAAACAAGAACTTCCCTAAATAGCGTGTTGGAGATTGGCAAGAAGATAAGTAAATGAAATAAGGATGAGCCCCAAATTCTGGTCATTAAAATGCCCCATTTCCTTGTACATAAATCTCTTCAAAGCATTTTTATTCTCCACACAACTTTATTCTTCACACACTCATCAGTGCATTGGCTTAAAGCCATCTCAGCTGTCTGTCACAAGAAGAGAACTTTAATTTATATTTGACTTAAAATAATCTGTCATCAAATAATTTGGTTAAGCAGCTTTCTGAATAGTATATATCTTACGGGATGGGTAAGATACACTATATTGCCAAAAGTATTCGCTCACCTGCCTTTACTCGCATATGAACTTACTGTAAGTGACATCCCATTCCTAATCCATAGGGTTCAATATGACGTCGGTCCACCCTTTGCAGCTATAACAGCTTCAACTCTTCTGGGAATGCTGTCCACAAGGTTCAGGAGTGTGGTTATGGGAATTTTTGACCATTCTTCCAGAAGCACATTTTGAGGTCACACACTGATGTTGGACGAGTTTACGTGGCCTACCACTTCGCGGCTGAGTTGCTGTCGTTCCCAAACACTTCCACCTTCTTATGATACAGCTGACAGTTGACTGTGGAGCGAGGAAATTTCACGACTGGATTTGTTGCACAGGTGGCATCGTATCACAGTTCCATGCTGGAATTCACTGAGCTCCTGAGAGCGACCCATTCTTTCACAAATGTTTGTAAAAACAGTCTGCATGCCTAGGTACTTGATTTTATACACCTATGGCCATGGAAGTGATTGGAACACCTGATTCTGATTATTTGGATGGGTGAGCGAATACTTTTGGCAATATAGTGTATATTGCTTTCATTCTTGGCTGCTGTTTTTGTTTTGAATTGTACATCTAGCATTGTATATTTTATGGTTTCAATTAAATTTTAAGTACTACTCTGTCATTGTGACAAGAGGTGTATCAATTTAAATTGAAATAAATAAGATATGCATATCTTATTTATTTCCCATGCTTATTAATTAACCAATACAATTAACTTTTTGTCCTTCAAATAATTTCTGTTTATAGGTATAATAGTATTGATAATTCTGTTTTTCCTCTGTTGATGGAGGATTGTGATTTATTACTTAAGGAATAGTTGCTACTGAAATATATTTATTTACATGACTTTATCCAGTTTGATTAAATATGTATAATTAGAAGCTATTGATATATCAGAATACTGTATAGAATGTTAGAAGACTACAAAAACATTTGTTTGCATAATTTATCTTTATGCCACACTGTAACTTTTAATATTGGTAAGTTATTTTTGAGTCTTCATCTCACAGCAATTATGAACACACATTACACATTTTTTATGATTGGCTTGCAATATTAGAATTACACTCTGTTGGGTGCTAAGTAAAACCTATTAGTGGATTAAATAGTAACTAGTTCCAAATATATTTTTAAAAAGTTCTTGTTTAATCCAAAAGTTTTGTGCACTTATTTGTTAATATGATCATGCTTCTCACATCTATAAAATCCTACTAGTGAAAAATTTTACTGTTTTTCATCACAAGGGAAAATATTGTTTACCTTCTCATATTTAATTAAACAGGCAAATGTGAAATGAAAAAAGTTTGTCATAACATATTTGGTGATGTTTTAAGAAATTGTGAAATTACAAAATTTTCATGTCGATTTAATTAACAATTTTCAACTCTAAATCCTTAAATCTTTTATCTGCCTCTTGTGGAGTTACCAAAGTTAGAAGCAACTCAGCATGCACTGGAAATTTATAAAGTTCATAACATTGAGGCTCAAATAAAGTGGATTGTGTACTGTTTTTGGCTTGTTTTACTAACATTTTTATGCTTATTACAGTATTCAGTTAGCAGGAATGGTCAGGTGTGCAGAAATATTTTCCATATGGCTGGTATATGGGTGTTTTAAAATACCTAAACGCTTATAAGTGATGATGATGTTATCCATTCAGTTGTGTCCGACTCTTGGTGATTCTATGAACCAGGTCTTTCTATGTCTTTTGAGCTTGCACTACTTCTTTAAGTGGTTCTGTGCTCTGGCTGGTGTCAGCTTTTATGGTGTCCAGCCACCATGTTCTTTGGTTACTTTTTACCATTAACTCTTCTAAACATAATTGCTTTCTTCAGTGAATTCCCCCACATGACATGACCAAAATAAGTGAGGCACAGTTTCGTGATTTTGCCTTCCAGTGATATGCCTGATGTTATGTGCTCCAGTACTTGTTTGATAGTCACCTTTATTGTCCAAAGAATATGCAATATGCAATATCCAATCTTCACAACCATATATACTGGTCAAAAAATAAAGGGAACACAAAAATAAGACATCCTAGATCTGAATGAATGAAATATTCTTATNCCCCCCCCGTCCCTCCTTGAAATTTGATTGGGTGTATGTTTTGGATCTATTCTATAGAGTGGGAAAACTTCAGAATCCCATCTGCAAGAAAGAAAAATATCGATCTGTTTATGTTGGACATCCTTTAACGATCAGTAGCAAAAATAAATAATTGTTTTGGCAAATTCTGCTAGATTAAAGCAGTAATTAATTAATTAGCCCACAGATGAACTACACAACAGCCTGTCTTCTTTGAACCAGAAGGATTGCCTATACAAAGCAACTAATTAGAGGAGCATTGAATGTGAATTAAATTATTTGAGACTCAAAAAAGCATTTGTACAGATGAAAGAAGTTAGAGATTAAAAAGAACTGGAAGCTACTTGTTGAATATGATAATAGGGAGGGAAACCTTGGGAGAAAGTTTCCCTCTGGTCCACCTGTCAGGCAGAAAAGACTGGTGGTTTAAATTGATTGGTTCACACTACAGGCAGGAAATTCAAAAGATCTCAGTGGCTGAGCTGTCAGACAGCTCACTTTAAAAGAGGGAGATGCTGGACAGCGCACTCATTTTTGTGTACTGGTCTACCAAATAAAGAGCTGCTGTTTAGCGGAGCATCCTGTCTCTTCACTTGACCCACACTTAACACTGGCGATGAGTTTGGGATTTGAAGAGAACAAAGAACAAAGGAGTTGAAGTGACTAGGACAGCCGCATGGCATCAGCGACCATCTTCAAAGCAAGTCAAGATTCTACATCGGCCATTCAAAGATTACCACACATGCCCCACCAGCTCCATACAATCCAGCCAAAGTACATTGGGCATCATATATGGATCAATTTCAGATGCTCATGGAAGCCAATGATCATCTAATACTATTGTATAATAGGAAAAGGTTGCTTTTCCTAAGCTACTGTGGACCGAAGGTTTTTTTTAATGACTAAAGCTCTGCTGGCGCAAACTATCCTGGGAGATACTCCAAAAAATGCTACAAAAATGCTACTGCACCTGCTTCTTCGGATTTTTTTAAGCAACACACATTTTACCGGAGGGATCAAAAGGAAGGTGAGACAATCAATAATTTCATTGAAAAACTAAAAAAAATCACAGCTGACTGCGAATTCAGTAATTTAGAGGCTGCAATGCAAGATAGACTCGTTTGGGATTTGGAAGACATAAATCTGCACAAACAACTATTAGCTAAGCCTAGCATTATACTCCAAGCTGCGCTAGATGAAGCCAGGACAAATGAATCATCCAATACGTCAGCAGCTGCACTGAAAAAAAAGCAGCGGCCATCAATTGAGTGGAATGGCCACCATACGTCATGAAAGCACAGAGTCAAAAGAATTTGCCAAAGAAGACAACAAAATCCACTGCATTCACTCCAAGAGAAGGGTAGGAAATTCGGAAGCAGGAAAGAGACCTTTTTTGTGTGTGCAGATTGTGGGGGAAAGCGCCCTAGATTGGCATGTAAGTTTAAAGATGTCATATGCCAAAGCTGGGAGCGGAAAGGGCACATAGCAAGAGCTTGCTAAGCAACCCAGTCAGTTTTCCTCCACCAGAAACAGCCTGTTTACCCATCACAACCATATGTTTCACAAACAGGATTCTGGAAGGCGCAGTTTTCGAAGCATAAACAAAGGGAAAACTGAAACAAGGGAAACTCATCAAATAATTGTCAGACACTCAGACGCTTACTGCTCCAAGAAATTCCATGTTGCAATCCATATCAAGGGATCTCCATGTGACATGGAAGTGGACATGTAAATTACACTACATGTAAATGTAGTGTCATGGCAGACTATTAAGAAGGCCATTCCGGGGCTGCAAAAGAACCAACTGAAACCACAGAAGATGCTCCTAAAAGACTATCAAGGAAACTGCATCCCTGTCCTAGGCAGCAGAGCCTTCCAAATCAAGTTTAAAAACTTTTTTGGACCCTTGCAGCTGACCATAGTGAATAGAGATCCCCCAAGCTTGCTTGGGATAGAGTAGTTTGATGCCCTGGGACTCGGAATGACCAGCATCCACAACATGCAAGCAGACAACGCTGAGAGGCTGATCAAGGAATTTGCCAACATTTTCAATGGGAATCTAGCAAATATAGGGGAACCTCTATTTCGTTCAACCTAGATCCCAAAGTTACTCCTATTAGAATGAAGCTGCAAAGGGTCCATTTTGCTCTTTGGCCCAAAATAGATAGCCAGTTAGACAAACTAATTGCGCAGGGGATTTTGGAGACGGTGGATCATGCTAAATGGGAGAATCCAATTGTCACTCCAGTAAAGCCAGACGGCTGCATCTGCGCAGATTATAATGGCACGATCAACAAGGCATTACAGCAGAGTGTGTATCCCGTGCTCATTGTACAGCATTTATTGCATTCCCTGGGAAACGGCAAGACTTTAGCAAAACTCGACCCAGCCCAGGTTTATCAGCAACTGCCAGTGGACAATGCTACCCCAGAGGCACAGGCAATTGTAACACAGAGAGGGGCATTTAAATGTCGCCAACTGCAATTTGGGGTAAGCGTGGTGCCAGGACATTTTCAAAGCATAATGGAA